AGTAAGATGCACGTGTATGAGTGGTCCAATGAAGCCACAGAAATACGCCCTGCAAATTTAATGTGAACTTAGCAAAGGAGAAGAGGTTGAAGACCCCGTTATTCCCCTATTTGAATGCATAAAAAGTATATTCACCTTCGTTCATGACAGGTTTAATTCAGAAGACTGGTCGTCAGGGTGACTACAGGAACTCCACCAGTCTGAGTGGCCGGAGTATGTGCAGATCGATGAGGCTGGCGAAATCCTCTCTGCAAATTTAGCGTGAAGTTAGCCATGGAATAGTAGTTGAGTTCCTTCGTATGTGTCTATTCTAACACACGAAAAGAAAATCACCTTGTTCCCCCTAAAGTTTCATTTCAGAAGACTGGTCGTCAGGGTGACTACAGAAGCTCCGTGAGTCTGAACTGCCGAAGCATGTGTAGCTCAATGAGTGTGTCACACTCACCTTTGCAAATTTATGGTAAATTCGCCTATTTTAAAACAAAATGTAAATCACTTTCTTTCATGGGCAGCTTTATTATGGAAGACTGGGTGTCGGCAAGGCAAAATATGCTCCGTGGACCAATATTGACGTTGATTATGTCACCTCAAGTAAAACATGCCATTATAAACGGACCTGAAATGAACTTCTAGCAGTACCTCTGTTCATGTTCAACCAGCTTTTCCCAGCTAATCTCACCTAGTGCTTTTGCAAAATGCTCAAGTCATGAAGACCATGAGGTAATGCAGTGGTGCTGGCAGTTGCTGCCACTTTATGTTAGTTATAGTGAAAAAGCTCACCATGCACGACTGCTAAACCTGGAGAGCTTTTGCTGGAAATGTCGCCATGTGTCGTCTCTGCAAATAATATAAAAATGTTATGAGCCCACAAAAGCAATATTTCAACCCCATGTAGTAACTATTTTTCTAAGAGCGGATTAACCATGCTTAGTCACAAAGTGCACGGTATGTTTATTGGTCTGCTTACTTTTTGTGGGAAGCACACTTGGCAACGCATTGTGACGGAGGTGTCCAGGGCGCAGGAGAGCTGACTCCTCGAAATGTAAGGAGCAAACTAGCCTGTCTCGCAGCTGACATGGAATCTTCCCCTGTAGACTTCGGTTGTTGCAGAACCGAACCCAGGCTTCACGCCTGCAGATAAGGCATGGTGCTATGAGGGTGTCGTGAATACTTACGAAAAGAAAATGTAGCCAAAATGACCACAAACCAAAGCAAATCAAATGCATGACATCAACGCTCTGTGTACATCATGAAGAGTAAAAACACCAGTCTTACGCACAGATGCCCAATTATATATCTGTGCTGTACCACTGATAGCCACGCCGATGATCACGACACTAGGCTCCTCAGAGTCAGGCCGGTACAGGTAAATTTTAATATCGTGGGCACTTTTATAATGACGGCGCACAACGGTGCGAAGTCACAGTGATTTCGAAGTTAAAACATTCCTAGTATAACATATTACACCTTCAGGTGTAGTTTCTTGTGCACATCCAGAGAACCCTAATAGTTTTAGGGAAAACTAACAAGAATTAAGAGAAGACCGAACAAGGGGGCATACATCACACAGCAGGCATGTTACTGACAGTAGCGAAGTCTCACCTTCGAGAGTCGAGGGGAAACCGGTGCAGCGAGATGCCAGCCGTGCGGGTGTTGCTTCCACACATTTCCACGGAGCACCGTTTCTTTGCGTATCTCGCGCTGTGCTCATCGTCGCAAAATACGTTAAGCCCCTTGGGCGCAGTAGCGTCCAAGATCCAAGTGCACGATAGCCGAGTTCCCGCGCAGGTAACTGGGCTAATCACACCCGAGCAAACAACAAAACTCCCGAAACGGTGTAAACTGCCGCTAAAACAATTAAAAGCGAAGAGCACGTGGAGGCTCAAACACAAGCAAGCAGACGGACGTCTGCAGCTTACCTTTCCGCGCGCCACGAGGTCTACAAAAAACTGCAAATATCGCTATTGCTAGTCGGCCTCTTTGCTAATGGCGTACAGAGGACGCTAATAAGAAGTATGCATAATAGGGAGGCTCCCTAATGCATAATATTAGCAAAAACAAAGACAGTTTTGAATTTTGTAGCGCGTTAAATATAATTGATATTATCTAATAATTATATTTAGCTTGTTTAAAAATACTAATGATTATACTTCTAGTCACAAACTAATTAATTTTAATAATGTTTGTCCCCACCTCTCCTAGTCGCGCTTCAATCGCATCCTTCACGTGACCCTCCAGGTTGATGTCGCTGGCGATTTGTTTTGAACCGCTTTTTGGCCGAAGCTTCGCTATCCCAAACACGGTTACATCATCAGAGCAGTTTCGTGAACTTCAACAATCCACGAACTTACCGGTGGAAAGATACTCGCGTTCTTTTCGAAGGTTTCTTTTTGCATAGCGCGCAGATGTACGGCCTCGCGTTAACGCTGCTGGTGGGGCGCGGCTGGGCGCGGTTGAGGAATACGAAACTGTGCAACCACCAGATTTCCGAGATTTCGACAGAAGGGAAGTTAATGCAGCGTAATGACTTTATTGTTTTTTATAAGCGTTAGAATAGCTCAGAATTTAGTTTACAACGTTAAATTATCATTGTTTATATTGCTGAGAGTTTTCACTCTCCGTGTTTACCTAGAGCACTATATAGTGCTCTATGTTTACCATGGCAACGTTGCTTTCTTTCTCTCGTGTTCTGTCGCTCTCTTTTGCGATCGTTCACTCGGGACCCAGGATGTCGGCGCACGGAATTTGCCACTCCTCCTCACCCACCTTTACCCCCCTGGTTAAAGTATGACGCACTGATGTTTATTACTCTCTCCATGCCCGCTGACTTGCCCGAACCCCAAGAGACGTGGAAACCGCAAAAAAGATAGACACTTAAATATGATTGCAGGACCCCAATTAAGGTTAAACAAAAAAAAAAAAAAAATCACTTAAAAAGAATAGAAAAGCTAGGTTGAACCAGGGACTAACAATGAAGCCAGGCTAGAAGAAAAAACAAACAAACGCAAAAAGGCGAGCACACGAGAGCATAGCAAACAAACTAAATTTAATACTGGAGTCTACCCACTGATCTCTATGTCTATTTGCTGGATCGCGTTTGACCAGCTCCTCCTATGGACCGGAATGCGGTCACTGGCGGCCATCTTTAGGTAGAGTTATATCATCTCTAGCCATCATAGTAATATGGCGGACAGCGCAATGGCGGCAGGCTGCCATAAAAATAGCCGTAGATCTAGTACACTGTACCGTGGGTGACATTTCGTGCTTGATTGAAGTTGTTTGATGAAGCAGATTCTTGAAACCCGGCGTGAACGGTAGCCTCATCTTTGAGGACCCGGCGAAAGTTCTACGAAAGCGCAGCACCGGGGGAAAGCAGCGCAGCTCGCATCAAAAGCTGACTCCGTACCGTCGTCTGCTTTCGATGCTCCTTTCGATGCGACTTTCGATACGTGCTGTGCTGCTTTTCTCCCGGTGCTGCGATTTCGTGAAACTTTTACCAGGTCCTCAAAAACCAGACTACTGTTCACGCCGGGTTTCAAAAACATGTTTCGTCAAATAATTTTAATCAAGCACGCAATATCACCCACGCTATTTTCACCGCAGCCTGCCAACCCACCTGCCAAAACGCTATCTGCCATGGATGGATGATAGCGGCTGCAGCAGCTTACATTGGCTAGAGGTGATATAACTCTACCTAAAGATGGCCGCCAGTGACCGCATTCGCGGAGCGGGCAAACGCGATCCAGCAATTGTCATTGAGATCAGTGAGTCTACCATAGAGTTATTATAATGTACGCTAGAGGTTCAAGTGGCGCTAGTGTGCTGACGCGAATTGAAGCAGACAGCATGCAGTCAGAAATTGACTTCCGGTAACGCAATTCTATGGGAAAATATCACGAATAATTTGTACACACTAGGCACATTGGAACATTTCTCAGTCACGCAGACGAAATAATTGGTCAGTTACAGCATTTTTATTTGAAATTCGCGGCATTAAAAACGGTGTAAAAACCGCTTCGTACGTGTATTTATGTGCACTGTCGGACACTGTTAGCACGAACACGGAGTCGACGCTTTCCAACACGGGGGATATACGTGCCAAATGAACGAACGACATGTGGAACACCAAGAGAGACGGCAAGAACTACGCAGTAACACTGGGTAAGTAACTCCTTGTGCTTGCAGACGATCAAAATAAGTTGAAAGTCGCGTAATATAGTCCGATTTGCAATAAATTAGTACTGCTTTATTCTTTCTGCTCATGAATATGTGCGAAGATGCTTGTTCTGTGTTCAAATCATCACCGGCTCGCTCCAAATCATTGCAAATAGGGAGAAGCCAGAGGACAGGTGCGCGATAAAAACTGCCCAACATAGGAAATAATAAAACACACGTACTTTCGTAGCCCACGTTCTTTATTTACGTTTTGAACGTTTTTTTTAACCGCTCGTAGAGATAAGCACCAGCGGAATGCTGGCGAACTTTGAACCCACTCTACATTCCTTTCGATCGTTATTTTGCTTAGAATCGTCGCTCGTTTCTACATACCTGCCATGGAACAGAGGTTTGGGCCTGAAATATAGCGAAGTTTAGCATCGTTCAGTGGTAAAGGAAAAAATGCTGTAACTAAAGCAATTACTCTTTCAGAATATTAATAAAGGTACATACTACCCGGTACAACCGAAATAACAAAAGTTATTAATGTTATTTTCCGGCGACGAGACAAAATTAGGAAGACTGAAAAAGTAGACTGCCTGCTGGGCATGCTGTCTGCTTCAATTTGTAACCGGAAGTCCCATAGACACTAGCGCCAGCTGAGCCTCTAGCGTTTATTGTAATAACTCTAATAACTCTATGCTCAGCAGCCTCACCAGTTTTATTTTAAAATTAATGCAATGATCTGAGCTAAGTAAATCAATCATAACGTAATAAACATTGTATAAAATAATTCTTATATTAGTTAAGTTATTTGTTAACAATTTGTACTCGAAAAACAAAACAAGAAGCAGATAGGTTCAGTCATACTCTCGAAACCCAAGCTCGAAACCGCTCGACCAATCCAAACTCTCATAAGGTTTGTCCGCATATTCAAACAATTTCGCCGTTGTTCCTAAAGGCGGCGTGCGGCATTCTCCAGTGCACGGGAACGGGAACCTCGGTTCAGTCGTTTAGTCAGTTTAGTCGTTTTGTCTCATTCGTGCCGTGTGCCTTGTAGGTGTCCCTGTACGCCGTGGTCACTTCCCTCCACTGCGTCCTCAGCAGGATGAGTGCCTGTAAGTATTGCGGCTTCAAATGCCCCGAGATATGCCATCATTTTTCTTCGAGACTCACGCCCCTCGCTTTTCTGGTTTTGACTTGTAGCATTTTCCCAAGCGTCTCATACGTTCGCGCGAGAAAAGTTGACGAAACTTCGTTTCAAACCTCGTCCTGGAACTGCTACAAAATGACTGCGCTTGTATTTGCCGGGCGCAACTCACCCTGTCGTGTTTCAACTTGTAGCTGGGAGCTCGAGCGGTCCGCTGGGGACTACTCCAAGCACCCAGAGCAAAGTAAGTACTGTAATTTTTTTTTTTTTTCCTGCTCTCAATAGTTGCTTTTTAAGTTGCTTTGTAACCTTGTTGACGTTCCCTTGAGCTACTATGTTCTGTGATTGTTGGTGGGCGGTCACCTGCGGTTATGGAATTGTCTGTCTTTCGGCTGGTAGTAGCAGCAAGTACTGTACACATAATAACGAAGGCTCCCTTCTTGTAACTTCGGTTGGTTTTCAGAGCTTGTAGGTGTTGGCTGACACCGGAGCCATGTTGCAGCCGTGTGCGTGCAGAGAGACCTTACCTGTAATAAAATGGTGCTGCAAACAACTTCACGGAAGCGCAGCAGCGAAGTGTGTGGTGTATGTAGTACCTCACAATGAGCAGTTTCCAAGGGCAAACGCGGCCTCCGAAAAGCTTGAACGCCGAAAGGCGCTTGAAAACGAGCGACTGAAAACTTCGTATCAGGATGCTTTGCCAACTCTGAAGCCACTTGACTTTAATATTTGCCGCCATTTACTTGTACTTTGAAAGTGCATTGTATTTACAGTAGTTTCCTTCAAGTGCTTTGGACCCGGTGTACTTGCTACTTTACTTCAAGTACATAACCTCTAATTTGTCTTGTACTTTACTTCGAGTACTTTTTAGAAGTACATTACCCAACACTGACATTTGTGCTGATGCAAGGATCAGCTGTTTTATGCTTATGCTAGGATGGCTAGACTATACATGCCTCTCACGTGACGCCTTGTGGCATCGAACCAGCCGCCATGTGTCCATACCATGCTTCTGTGCCCATACCTTCTGTAGCAAATATGTGGCATGAAATGTGTTCTTCTCGGCAAGCCTTGACGGGAAGAAAAATATTAACAGTGTGAAATGTGTGCTGCAGAAGGTACGTGCACAGGAACATGTTATGAAGCAATGGTGGCTGATGTGACATCATTGCAAGCTGTGTATTGAAATTAACTTCCAGCATCCTTGTTCCCCCTGCCTGTTTCAGCCCCTCTCTGGAGCAGTCCCGAAAAGGACTTTGAGGGCACCAACCCCCACCAATCGTCTGGGCAATCCTATCCTGAAGCGTTCGGAAAGCCTCAAGGAGAACCTGGTAAGACGGTGCCGTTTGTTGAAAAATGTTAGAGGGCAGTCTAGTTATCTTGGATCAACTTGCTCTCTGGGTACTGCCTTCACTAAACATCGGCCCTGCTTAAAATGCCAATTAAAGCGAATGGCTGATTTGATCATTTTGAGAAGGACTGTTAGAAACAATCCAGTCTCCATTATATGCCACTCGTATAGGTGTCGGTGGAATGTGAGCTGTCTTGATGGCTCCTAGGCCAGGTGCCAGCCTATGAATAAGCTGGTGGCGGGTTCCACAATCTGATGGAGGCCTGTTGTGGAGAAGGCACTGTGTACCTGGGATTTCACCTTTCACGAATAATCAAGAGCCCCAGATGGTTGTAGTTAATTCTTGGTACTCCACTTGGGCATGTCAAATGCCCTTCGTTGGTTTGCCGTGTAAAGCCCCCAAATTCGACTTTAAAACGGTGTGTTCTATCAGCCAGTTTTCACGGTGATCTGCAACGTTTGGCGGTTACAAAAAACCGAAAGCGTTATGTTTATAGGGAACCATATAAAGACTTCAGCCCCCCGGCAGGATTTCAACTTTCCACATTGATTGTGAGCCAAGTGCTTTACCGACTGAGCTAGTGAGGGACAGCGTTTGCTCTCAACACGAAGAGAGAACTTTTCGTGCAACATTCGAAGTCTGTGCTCCTCGCGGCCTTGAAGGTGCATGGGCAGTGTTACGCTGCACCATCTCATGGTGTTTGTCAGAAATGGGAGCGGATCTTTAATACAACACCTGCTTTGTAGCAAGGCAGTGCCATTCAGACGCCTCTCTTCCATCATGGCCAGGGCTGTGAAGCCATGGTGGAAGAAAAGAGGTGAGCTTGCCGAGAATGTAAGAAGTGGCAGAAGCAGCAGAAAGAGCCTTTACAAGGAGCCCCACCCCGCAGACTATCGCCAATAATTGTAAGGCCATCACACATTCTGTGCTTACAAATATTTGTCAACATTATCAAACATGCTTTTTTTTTTTTAATGTTTGCTGGAAGGGGCTTACTTTACCTTCATCACCACTCTACAATGTTTTTCAAGGTTTGGAATAATCTGGGACAAGCTTCTTCCACAAAGCCCTCTACTCATTCCACTTTAGCAGAGCAAGTTCTGGGTAGGAGAAAACCACCAATGATGGCACACAGCGAGCTTTGTGGGAAGGGCTTGTCGTGCTGTTTTAAATCTGTAACACACAACTGTAGCATTCTCAACTGTAGCAGAGTGATGCCAGGAAAGATGGGCGAATATATAACATATTTCCTTTTAGGACCACAACCCAAAACGACAGAGGGCTGCTGCTCCCACCTCAGCCGCCACTGCGGCAAAGCAAATCATGGATCTCAAGAAGCGCCTCCGGCGATCGAGGTCAACCTGCGACGTCGGCAGCGCACCATTGACATCGGCAGCATCCAGGAACGGTCGGTGCACATCTTTGCTGCTGTAACCATTGAAGTGTGGGCTAAGTCACGCTTGCACCTGTGATACTTAAAGATCACTAACCATTTCTGATCGGCTTGGCATATGTTGAGAGTCTCTTTCGCAGAAATTAAGTGTATCCTTGCGTTTAAGCGCTCTCTAGTGCAGTAGCACCAGGGGTAGTTGCAGCAGGCATTCCAGTGCGATAACCTTTTCTGTTTTTCTGAGCTGGCATGTTGACTGCAATAAAGTACAAATGTCATTGGAGGATAATGCATGTCTGTATGTCTAACAGACTAATAAATATCCACTCTAAACAGGAAAAATGCTATGTGTGTAAGGATATCTGGAATGCAACATTTCCATGCAGCAAATTGTTTTGCTTGCAAAGAATCCTGCTTCCTTTTCAGATGAAAAATGGTCAGTTACCTTTCATGCTAGTACATACCTAATCATGACCAACATTGCACCCTGAATTTGCTGGAAATGCAGGACCTGCTGTAACAGCTGTAACTTGGGATTAATCGCCTTCTGTGCTTGCGAACTTGGGGACCGAAGATGAGCCACAACGTGCACAAAGGGATATTGGGGGCTCTTTCTAAATCACTGCAGCACAATGGAGTTGGCAGGATCTAGCTTCTTTGATAGAGGGAGTGCCCATGCTTGCATCTTCACACGGAAACCGCCTAAACCAGCCATCTTTTAAATTGGTTGATTGCTGAGAGCTGTGAACAGTGTCTTGAGCTGCAAGACATTGAACAGCAGCCCCTGTTGCTTTTTTTCAGCCCTCAAGGCCAGTGGTTCCACCTCCACCTTTGGTTCCTTGGCCTCCAAGCACAAAGGGTCTAGCATGTCCGTGGCCCCCTCTGCCCCTAAGAGCAAGGGCTCCGGCAGCTCTGCTGCCCTGGCACCGTCTGCAGCGGGCAAACGCAAGCCGTGGGACCTGCAGGGGAGGGTCAAGGACCTGGAAAAGCTGGTAAGCTCCCTGGCCGGGGACAAGAAGGAGCTGCAGATCCTCCACAAGGAGAAGGAACAGCAGGTTGGTAGCACCTTGCTGACGTTCCGTTACACTGGACTGGTCCAGTTTGTACTCAAGCTTTTCTATCTTCGGGAACCCATACCTGCAAAGAGTGTGGAAGCCTACGGACCATATGAACAATGATGCACCTACTATGCTTCGTTTACTTTTGAGCCTTGACTGCAGCCAAGGCTACAAGAGTCAGAGCGCAAGATCTCGGCTTTCAGACATTCTTCCACAGGATGAGCGCTTGTGCTAGAAAGGCATTCCTGAAAGCAAGTGGCATGGATGCTAGCTCACACATGATGCTTGGCTGCAATCTCTGCTGAAAGGGCCACTGAAAAGAAAATAAATTTTTTAAACAGTCTGGTTGGGAGGGAGACTCAAATCAAAAAATAGATTTTACGCAAAAAATTTTTACAGCAATATTGACGGCACGGGATTTAGGTTCATGACGTCTCAGGATGGTCATACTCTTTCCACCTGAATTCTCCACCTCAACGTGACTGTCAAGCCGATCCACCCCTCCTCCACACGCTCGAAATGCCAAGAGAGAAAACAAGTGGAGAGGAGGAGACTACCAACTCAATCCCACCTTGCGCCGTCAACATTACTCTGAAAAAACTTTTTCACATAAAATTTATTTTTTGACACGCGTGTCCCAACTAGGCTGTTTAAAAAAAAAAAATTTTCTTTTCAGTGGCCCTTTAAACGGACACTGCAGGGTATTTAAGGGAGGGCAGTACCCAAAAGAGTGAACTTCAGAAGCTTCGGCTTAATATGAATGAAATTTACAGTGCATACTGGGTTGCGAGGCAGAATGCAGTGCAAAGTTTCATCTGTGTACAAGAATTGTGATAAAAATTAGTGGTTTCAATCGGGAACACAGATATTGTTTAGGAAAGCTATTTTTAGAAAACTTGGATGATAACAAACTTTTTTCTTTACTAGATATGCAGCGGAATGCCTAAAGGGGGCAGCTGTAAAAAGTTTCCAAAATGTAAATTATTTTATGCTAACATCGTGCTGAAAAATCAAATAAATTTCTTGCCTTTTATCTCGTTGACAAAATCTTAAACATAATTTATAAAAGACATCAACAAAGTAAGAAAACAATGCCACAGCGGCATTGCCGATTAAATTCCACTTAAGAAAAACAATGAGTGAGCCTTTCCTTTTGTCCCGTTACTACACAATAGTTTTCCTAAACTGAAATTCATGCCAAAAAGTGGAACGGAGAAAAACATGTTCAAGGCGCTCTAACCTCTACCTTTTCTTTAGCGTCAATGGACCAAAAATAATTTATAAAAAATAACCATGCTGTGTAAACAAGTGACTTTTTTTGAATACTCTCTAGGATGTAGATGGATGTCAATATGGCATTCTTTAAAATCAACTTTTTTGCAGAAATTCTTTTTTCTCTGTAGTGGCTTCCCTTAAAAGACACGTGCAAAGGAAAATAAAATTTTTTTTAAACAGCTTAGATGGAAAAAGGATATCATAAAACAATTTTACAACAAAGAAAAAAAATGTTTAGACCTATATATACGGCGCTACAGTCAAACGCCGCTACAACGACCGCTTCTACTACGAAATAGCCCGTACAACGGGCTATTTCGTTGCTTATCTGCTTTATTGGGGTCATTAAAGTGTGCGACGGGTATAACGAAGTGGCGTGTATAATGAAGAATTATCGCTGTCCCACACGCTTCGTTACACGTTACACACTGTATACAAATTTGTAGTTGGCGCCGGCAGGCGTCGCGGAAAAGTGGCCCTTATTTATCACGTGACGGGCCCATATTTGTCACGTGGTGCTTGCGCTCTTTCAGAAGCTTCCTATGGCCTCTAAAAGTAACTTATTCATCTTTGTTTGAAATATAACAAAAAAACTAAGATGAATAAGTAACTTTTAGAGCCCAAAGGAAACTCCTGAAAAAGCACAAGCAGACGTGATAGACCTGTGCACTGGTCAGATGACGGCGGCAGCGCCCCGAAGCAGACGAACTTGTGCGGCGGCAGCGACGGTGGCGTGGAGAAATGCATTGAAGTGGCGTCATACAATGCTCGGCGTGCGGCGGCGCACAGGCCTACCACGTGACCAGCGACGGCTCCCGCAGGCGCCAACTACAAATTTGTATAACACCATAAATATATCTCTAAAAATTTTTTTCTTTGTTGTAAAATCGTTTTATGGTATCCCTTTCCCATCTAAGTTGTTTAAAAAAAATGATTTTTTTTTTTTGCATGTGTCCTTTAAGCTTGCCAAGATATTTATTTGTACATGACGTGACCCAAACTTCCCAGAACACAATTTGTGGCCATAAGTTCATTTTCTTTCTGCCCGAGAACCGTCAATAGAGAACCGGCCGGTTTGAGTCGGTGCTCGCTTTCTTCTCCGTGGTCACATGCTGTTCCCTGTGGTTTAGACACAACCTCCAAACATAATCAAAGCCGTGGGTTATCGAAGACACACTCAGTGCTAAAAATAGACAGAAAATATGATATCCATTTTTTGTGGCTTCTAAAATGCTGCAAATACGTTAATTAAAAAAATATTGCACAGCCAAGTGACTTCTGGTAACTTTCTCCTCTATATTTCTTCTTCCACCCCAGTCCAGTTTCGGTTTCGAGCAGTTTTTTTTACTTTATTACAAATATGCGACGCTGTAGCAAAATTTTGATTTGGTAGTCTTCTGTCACCATAAAAAAAATCACCTGGCAAAAAATTAAAAAAATATTGTTTGGGAGTGTTAGTAACCTTGGGCGAATGCAGTATAGGTAGTGTTTTTGTCACATAGTTGAGCCTGCAATTGACTCCAGTTTGCTGAAGTTGTGCTGCGGAGAAGGTGCCGTGTAACAGAGCTTTTGGATGCACGTCAAAGGATCCCCAGGTGGTCGAGATTAATCCTCAGTCAGATGCCCGTTGTCGGTTTGGCATGTAAAACCCCCAAATTTGACTTTTGCTGAAGTTGTACTTTAACTTTCAAAACCTTTTGAGGTTCTGAGCACTTGGGTATACCTTTCAGTGCATTCTATACCTTTTTCTTTAGTAATTGATCCCTTCAAATCGGGAATGATGCCAACTGGATAAAGCAGGCTCGTTGTTAAAGCAATATTCATCTAGTATGACAACGCTTAATTTGTTGCATGACTTTTAGTGATGCATTCTTTTGCTGTCATCTCTTAGTATTTTTCATTGGGAGGGATTTTCTTTTTGCTTTGTTCCCGTAAAGGCTAAAGCTCCAAACTTGCCTAAATGCAGAATGCGGAATGACAGCATTTTCACTGGAGATTTAACCTTTAGCCATTATTGCTCAAACTTAGGAAAAGCTGAAATAATCGTCAAAACGCAGGTCAGCTGGTGAACAATCATAATTATGAATTAAAACCTTGAGACAAGGAAACAAAAATGGCTTATCTGAGGCCTTTTGGATAATTAAAACCTTTTGGTTAAAAAGTTTTAACAAAAACAAAGGGCTTATCTGAGACATTTTGGTTTTTTTCTTTTCTTTAAAAGGGTTTTAAGAATTAAAACCTGAGACAAGAGAACAAAAAGGGCCCTTTTTTGTTTCGTTGTCTCAAGGTTTTAATTCTTAATTGAGTAACGCCTCTTTCCTTGACCCAATAGATAAGTCTTTTCCGGAAGGTTGAAGGGCTCATCTTTCGGTACTCGACCTTGTACACCTTGCTTGTCTGTGGCTGTTTGCCCATTGCAACTAGACTTCCACATCAATTTTCTGTGTGCTGCCTTACAAGTCTTGTCTCCCCTCTGACTTCAGGTGGAGGTGCTCCTGAGGGACAACACGGAGCTGCAAGTGCAGCTAGAGCAGTTCAAGGGTCTGACCCTCGAGAACGACTCCCTCAAGGAGCAGCTCAGGTAAGAATTCGAAAGTGCTTAATTAAGAGGCTCCGTTCATATAATTTCACTGTTTGTGCTAATGTTGCTGTTGTAAAAGGTCCCTTTGTAACAGAGAAAAGTTCATTCCCGGTAGTGACACTTGGGAAGGCCCCAGTTTCTGTCATTTATTTCTATGCTTTCACAATCTTGGTAAAATTCGGTACGTTGGATACAGCTGCAGCAATTTAACGCCGTTTTTATCGAAAGGAGTGAAATCCGACTTTACTTCACGATGAAATAATACGCATCTCGTTCAACTTCCCTACCCAGTGCACTTCGTTGCCTTAAGGCATGCGAAGAACAAAGTAATAAGCTGATGTTCCGTTTTTCCCCTGATCCTGGTTATCTGCCTCTGAGCTTGTGACACTGTCAAAAATAACTATGTCCAACAGTGCAATGAATAGCTAATGTGAAGGAATGTGGAACACAATGGTGTAGTTGTACAATGTCGGAGGTGTCTGTCCTTTTTATCTTGGCAGGCTCAAGACGAACGAGGTGGCAGAGTTAACCGCTGAGCTGGAGAGCACCATGACCAAGTTCGGGTTCTGCCAGAGAGAGAAGCAGTCCCTACAGGAGATGGTGTTTGACGTTACCGGGAACTATGCAGGGCTACAGGTGGAACACTCGGCAATGCAGGTCTGAGATCTCCGTTTTTCTGCTTGCGGGTTGTTTTGCCGAGTACCCGAGGTATTCTGTCTCAGAAATGTACTAATGTCAAGAAATGCCCCTGGAGGTTTCATTTCTGTCATCGCTTACTCGAGAATGATGATTCCTCACACACCCAGACGCTCTTCTTTGCTTCATTGCTTCTGGTTAAGGGTGTTTTTTTCGCATGACTAAGCTGTCCGCTTCCTACTGGATGTATTGTATCATTACAAATACTTGCACCGTTTTAAATTGTAATTGTACAAATATTAAGACGGGGGAGTGCATTCTATTCACTCAAGATTATTGGGAGTTCGCTCAATACGAAAAGTTTTTTTTTTCAGTCCCTGTTCTAAAGCATCCTCGAGATATTAAAAAAAAATGGGTTGAATGAATTGCCTTCTGTCTATAGGGGCGAATTTATGTGACTAGAGCGTAATTTTTGCCATAACTTTGCTGCACACTGAATGTATTCGAGTGATTTTTCACGTCGTGAAAAACGGGCACAAACGATCCACCTTCAAGAGCAATATCCGTTACATTACCATGGGACTCGCTTGCAATGCTTTTCATTTACTGTTCTAAATAGCCTCGGTTTGATAGGTCTTCTCTCCACAAGCGCAGTCGATGGATGAGGGCTCCGAGTCATCCGCTCTTGCATCCGACCAGGATGACATGGAGTGGCAGACTCCGAGGCTCAAAGAAAAAAAAAAGACAGTGGTCCCTCCCAAATAACCGTTATTTTAGTATTCTCGATGTTTTCGTGGCCTCTCAAATTTTAATTTCACATTTTACCTTTTAGATAAATAAAGAAGTTGCATTTTATGCAGTAGAACTGTCGCGGTCTTTTACCATATATTGAGGACATTAATTATTTTGAACGATTTTCGGCATATTGTCCTTGCTTTACAAGATACCCATCTTCATGCACAACATGCACAGATTTTAAGGCGTCTTCAAGATTTTCGTAAAGATCGTCTAAATTCCGATTTCGGGGGCTTGGCAGTAATTGTGTGAGCGGGGTTGCCTGCTTTGAGGTCCCACTCTGCACACTACCAGAAGCCGTAGCGGTACGCTTAGTTTTAGATCGCCTTATAACGGTTATTCCTATTTATTTGCCTCCAAATTTTCTCCTGCTTCTCTGAGCTCCAAAGGCGTGTGGAACAACTTTATCAACCTTTTCTTCTTTTAAGTAATTTTAATGTGTGGCAGTACTCATCTCGACTCTCGAGGCAGAGAAATTTAACGTTTTTTATTATCTCAACTGTGTCTTTTTAATGGAAGTCTACATGTTTTTTAGTTCAGCTCACAATTCATTTACATCTATCGATTTATCTATTGAATCACCTTCATTACTGCCTTGTTTTTCTTGGCAGGTTCTTAATACCGCCTTTGGAAGTGACCACTTTCCTATTGTTTTAGAAAGGGACATTTGTCTTCCAACCTTTTTTTTAGAACGAATGCCTCGGTGGAAGGTGGACAAGGCAGATTGCTGTCTTTTAGTTGTAACACCAAGCTGGATACATCAGTGTTTTCCTCCATGACTTCGTATGAGGCCACATTCTGTGTGACAGAGCAGATAATAAACGCTGCTCAGAAATCAATTCCTCAAACTACCGGTACTTTAACCCGTAAGGGAAAACCTTGGTTAAATAAGTGATGTGTCTCTACGCGAAGAGAGAAATAGGGTGAGAAAAGTTCAGGCGGTATTCCACCTCAAGAAACCTGGTGGAGTTTAAAAAACGAAGCAAGAGCACGGTGGACTCATAAGCAAGCGAAACGGAAAACCTGGAGGAAAAGTGTTTTCTTTGAGCAGTTTTTTCCCGCTAAACAGGTCTGGGCTAGATTCCGGAAAATTAAAGGGGACTGCCGAGTTAAATATCCAATATCAACCCTTCCACTGCATCATGGAGAAAATTGGATAATGTTCTTTGGGAGTAGTTTTATTCTGTCCTGCTTCTCTAGCTATATTGATTCTTTCAAGTCCTTTAAATACCGTGCAAAGCAACGCAATATAATTACAACTGGTTCAAACACGGCATCATAAAATCAGCCTTTTACACAGTGAGCTAGATGGCCCTTCACGTCAAAAAGCTATCTGCTCCTGGACCTGATGGACTGCATTACGAAATGCTGCGTAACCTCTCTTTTGAATCCCTCAAATTCCTTAACTTCTTCGGTTTTTTGTGGGAAAGGGCGTGTTTTCTTGTGGCTTGGAACCAAGCACACATTATACCTCTCCTGAAGCCTGGTAGAAATCCCTCTCTACCTTCTAGTTTCCGTCCAATTGTTTCAAACCAGCTGCCTTGTAAAAACAGAAAAGACTGATAAACACATGGCTAATGTACATACTGGAAAATAAAATGTTGCATTTAAACCAGTGTGGCTTCCGCCAAGGACTATCGACCTTGGACCATTTGGTGCGCATAGAAAGTCATACGCGAAGCATTCGTAAATAAGCAGTCTTTTTTTACTTGGAGAGGGCCTACAATATGGCATGCAGGTATGAGATCCTCCAAGACCACCATGGTTATGAAATCCGTCACCGTATGCTGCATTGCATAATATTTTTCGACAAAAAACTCAATCACCCGTAATCATCCGACTTTCCATTCTTTACAAGGATCTAGATTTTGTCGCCTTTTTGAAAACAAGCAGTCTTGTGAGGTCCTTCAGTTTTCATGTCCGACGCTTCTGTCCCTTATTTTACATTTGCCTGAACGATGCTAACCTCTTGCAGAATGTACACTGTGTTGCCCCCTGGGACATATTGCCAGTTGTCTGGGACCGGACCTTTACTAAGTTTAGTATTCATAGTGTTTCAATCCTTGTAATTCAGCAGTAATCATCTGAGCTAGAGAAGAAATATGAAGGTCATGCCCATTTCTACACAAATATAGCTAAGACTTCATCATTCGTTGGCAGTGCCGTGCATTCTAATTCGATTTTCAGGAGTGAAACCTCTGAATACCTGTGCAAGTATATTCACATCATAACTTTATGCAATTTCTATGGCTATAGATTAAATTCTCCAGGCTAGAATAAAGCAAGCAGTCTTATTTGTAGACTCCCAAAGTGATATTATTGCACTATGCTGCTTAAAAGTTTCTAAAAATATGCTTGTGCAGCAACTGTGAAATAAACTTAATAATGATATGCACGGAGCTCTCAAAATACAATTTTGTTGGGTTTCCAGTCACATGAAAATAAAAGGAAATGAAGAGGAAAACAGACTCGCCACATCCTCGGGTAATATTCCACCATCCCACGCCAGTTGGCCTTACCAAGACATCCAACCTCTAATAAAGTCATCATGTCTCCGTGTACGGCAGTCGGAGTGGAAAATGCAATGTAAAAACAAACTTTATTTAACAAAGCCCTTGGGCTGTTGGAGAGCTCTTCACTCGCAGAAACCAGTTTCATAAAGTTTTGTTATGTTATTTTCGCATTGGCCACTCTTACATCTCACAAGCATCTTCATTGTAGAGAGGTTCATCCAGTTTTGAGCACTGAGGTGATGATATTGCCCTGATAAATGTTCTATGGGTCTGTTCAGATTTCGACACCAAACGTCGTTTCTATTTTCTGAATTTTTTCGCTTCCAAATTACATTCGATCCCACCCTTTTACTCAGATTATCCTCTCATCCCATTTGACAGTGTCTTACCCTTTATTGCCAATTCAGGCCTCATATACGAGATCTTATCCTACATAAATAGAATTTTTTTTTACATATTAGCTACATTGGCTTAATCTTTAAAATTTAGTTTGGTGCAGGATGGGCCCCGTAGCTGTTGCGCTATAAAGCCCACAAACATGGGTTTGGTATTTGAGGCCCTCGTAACATTGTCGCAGTCAAGGTGTGGATGCTCGTGATACACTCGGAGCAGTTTTCTTGATGCCTCTTCTCGTTCACTCTGCCTCCACGGGTGTTTGCTACAAATCTGTAGTTTCTTCCGTGCGTGTCACTGCCCCGTACTGGTGCAACCACTGTGCTGATGAGATGCGTCTGCTTGCAGTTGCTGCTTCAAGACGAGCAAGAGAAATGTGCACAGCTTGCAGACTCTCTTCGTCAGAGCCAGGAAAGGGAGGCAGAGAAGGGCCAGGAGCTGCAGGACGCCGATATGATACGTCGTGACCTGCATAACACGCTGCAGGAATTGAAGGTGGGTTGCACTGCGGCTTGATAACTCCGAGCTATGAGGTTCGGGTTTTTTGCCGAGATGAAGCTTTTTTGCTCCTGCTCGATTCCGCAGATATAGATTGTCGCAACAAATCCAGCACATGAAGCACCATAAATTTTTCATCCACTTCGACGCGCCCTTCTACGAACAGTGGATGCACATCAGTGATCTCAGAAAACTGGATGGAATGAAACCTCTATAGCTAGTGCTCTCACTGGGTTTCCAGAAGCCCAGAGTTCAACAGGCTCACGAATTTTTTCAGCCATTTCCACCCTCAAGTTAGTTTCAGCACTATATTCAAAAATCTCGGCCATTCATGGATGCATACCGAAGCGCTCCCTTTTTTATTTACAAGGTCCTCTTCCGCGGACCTTGTTCATAAAAGGGGTTTTTCGGCTCTCAAGAAGAGGCTCTTCGGCTCTCAGTAGATAATTATACTGGTATTGGTATTTGAGGTGCTAATGTAGTGAGTTTTCTGAAAGCGACTTCACTAATGGGGTGGTTCTTTTATGTTAAGAAGCGTTCGCACCTCACCATAGATTATTCCTTCAGGTAACTCGTAATGAAGAGTGCTCACTATTGCAAGTTGTTTGAGAACTTTTGAATCTTTGTTTTGTAAACCTGTCGCGTCGGGAGTCGTCATGGTTGCAGCGTAACGATCGGAGAGCTGTTCCCTCGTGAATGTCGCTCAGCTAATCTGTTGGGCAGTTTGCGTGCCGGGCCGTTTGTTGTTAGAGGCAGAGGCATAGCTTTGTGCACTATCTGCATTCGTCATCGCGTACACTGACTATTGCATCATATTGGAATCTTGCGTTTCCCCTCAGGGAAACATACGTGTCTTCTGCCGGGTGCGGCCGATGCTTCCGTCGGAAGAGAGGGAGGGCGAGCGCCCGAGTCACATATCGTTCCCAGACGAGAAGACTGTGGAGCTGGTCAAGCCCGACACGGAGGTGAGTGCACCACTGGTATGTTCTAGTGAAATCTCTGGAATACACAATTATTAATGTGGGCAGTCTACCAGTGAACATAAAGGGAAAGGGGAAGGGAAAGAGCTGGCACAGCTAGGTACTAAAGGCATGAAATGACAGAATTTCAAAGAGCAATCTCTAGGAGAAAGTATTTTGTATATCTCGACATACTCAATAAAGCTGCTATGGGCAGGTTCCGCATTATGCCGAGACAGAGTATTGGATTCCTATAGTTCTTTCTATGACACTTGCTGCATTTATTAACCATGCATTGTAACAAATTGGAGCTCCTCCAAGTTGCCACTAGTGGTTGTAAGATGCGATAGTTTTGATATCATGTTACCTAGATCAAAAAAGTTGTGCGCTAAGCTTGTGCTGAGATCATGAATCAAATACACGAAAGAGTATAATGTCTTGTTGCTGACAGACTCCCACCTCTCGTTTAAACTTTTTACAGGTTTTTTCCTACTTGAGTTGAGTTACTCCTCAATCTTGAGCTCCCGCATCTTTTCATATTTCTTTTTAGCTCGTCTTTGATAAAACAAAGCCTAATTTTCCATAAAAATGCCGAGTACCGTATTTGCGTGACCGACCGGTTGAGCTTCCTTTCTCCAAACAGATGGTGATGGCATTCCCCTTCGACCGGGTCTTCCCGGGTTCCGCGACACAAGCGGAGGTCTACGAAGAGGTGGCGCACGTCGTACAGTCTGCGCTGGACGGCTACAACGTGTGCATCTTCGCCTACGGCCAGACCGGATCCGGGAAGACCTTCACGATGGAGGGTCCGCCAGAGCTGGATTTGGGCTCTCCGAACGACTCGCAGCTGGGGCTGATCCCCAGGGCCCTCCAGCAGGTCTTTATGTCTGCGCAGAAGCTCCAGAGGACCCAGCACTGGGAGGCAAGTGGTTCTACGTGCTTAGCAATTGTAGGACCAAGTATTGTGTGTTTTCGTGTCCACTTCGACGCGCCCTTCTACGAACAGTGGATGCACATCAGTGATCTCAGAAAACTGGATGGAATGAAACCTCTATAGCTAGTGCTCTCACTGGGTTTCCAGAAGCCCAGAGTTCAACAGGCTCACGAATTTTTTCAGCCATTTCCACCCTCAAGTTAGTTTCAGCACTATATTCAAAAATCTCGGCCATTCATGGATGCATACCGAAGCGCTCCCTCGTTTAAAAAAATTTAAACGAGGCAATGATGCACTTCCGTCCAACTTCCACTGTTCGATGTGTGGCAAAGCCCAAGCGCCATAACCAAGCATCTTGAACCCTAGTGCAGTCGAGCATTGCTAGTTCTCTTTCGGATATCAAATGCTTTCCTCGTTTTTTTTTTGTTTTTTTTTTAGCGATATTGCAGTGAAGGCTAAGAGCACCAGTTTCTTGCGAGAGAATGCACCTTGGCTACGCAAAAGTCTTGTGCAACAGCGCAGTGTCCAAGCAATTGGCTTGGCCTTCTAGCATTTTCTGCTGTGCATATCCAGGAGGAACGTAGTATAGCGCACAAAGTTATCGTGCATGTTTAAATAGGGCCTTCCTTTATGTAAATTCATAATTAATTGTGAAGAATATATGGGTGGGCCAATTTATGGATTTCTGTTGCATTTGTGGAACCGTAAGGCCAAATTGGGACTCCTAATGATGGTTTGGGTCGTCAGGATCGCCACGTGTGGGGGAAGCGTTCTTTTGGCTTTCGTTCAATGTTCCACACCTGCGTACGCCGTAGTTTGGTGTGATCTGAAAACTCTCTATCGAATATCTTGGCACAGCCAAACGATCCTTCACTCTTTACTCCCAGGCTCTTTACAATGAGCTGCACGGTTCGGAGCATAGGACCTGATAAGTGTTCCTTGTATGTCTTCTATAGTTTACGATGGTGGCGTCGTACCTGGAGATATACAACGAGAATGTGCGGGATCTCCTGTCGACGCACCCCCGGAGCAACCAGGCCAGCTGCCAGATAAAGCACAAGGACGGCTCCACGATGGTGACCAACGCCACCAGAACGACAGTTACTTCTACAGAGCAGGCAAGTATTGCCTTTGCTTGACCAAGGTCACCCGTGAAGTTTGTTTTTTTGGTGGTCTTCAGGGAAGCTTGGCAAATTTTGTTTTGGATATAGGCTCTGGTGTTGGCGAGTCTCCTCTATTTAGTCTCGTGAACCTTGAAACCCTAGTTACACTGCTCATACATCATTCAACAGACGGTGATCACTGCAGACATGTCAGAATTATCTGGTGACACACCTCAAGCATGTTCAAAGCATGTTTGCTTCATGCATATGTATGCTTTAACATGTCTGCAGAAAGTTTTTGTATGACTAATGTAACATGACTATCCATACAAGGAATAAACGCTCCTCAGACAGTGTACGCAGACAGCGTATTTTGTACGATGCCTTAGCAGTATGGACTGCGGCTTAAGTCTCTCTGCCTGAAACAGTTCTAAAGCTTCTCAACTTTAGCGGTAACACAAATCAGAGACGGTTTGATACGTCTGGCCTAGTCTCGCATAGCGCACATAAAAGTGTGCTAACTGCTTTCTAGTAGGAGTAAGCGGGTAGTTCCCTGTGGTCACTTCATTGTCTGACATGGGGTTCTGAGACGCGAGATATTTATTGTCGGAACTCAGTTACGGCAGATTTTATGATGGGACTTCTGCAACGCCTGTGTAGATCCACGAGCTGCTCCGGCGGGCTCGGAAGCATCGGGCTGTCGGTTCCACCCAGTGCAACGAGCACTCCTCCCGCTCTCACTCGGTCTTCCAGCTCCGCATCACGGGGACCAACAGCCGGACCGGTGTGGGTAGCCGAGGTGGGTGTTCCCCCCTGCCTTGTCGACCATGTATGGGAGGCGCAAATGCCTCGCTTCTGCTTTTCAGTGGTGGGCACAGTTCATTTTTCTTTTGTTACAGCCTCGCCCTTATAGCTAGCTATGGCTGGTTTGCCTAACTCACTAGGCAGTAACATGTTTTCTTCGAGGCTGTTTTTTTTTAGAGTGCAGCTCTTAGGGGCCTGTTCCCGGCTTGAGCGGCGTCGCCGTCGGTGTAACCAAGGTCATCCCAAGGTCACGTGGCCCCCAAGGTCACGTGACCCCCAGAGGTCACGTGACCCCTCCCCCAGGGTCACGTGACCACCCCCCAGGGTCACGTGACCCCCCGCCAAGGTCGCGTGACCTCCCCGATGACGTCATCGTCACTGACGTCACCGGCATCCGCATAGTCATCATCACTGATGACGTCATCAGTGACGTCACTGGTGACCTCACCGCCATCAGCATCGTCATCGTCATCATCACTGATGACGTCGACGGCATCGTCATCGGTGACGTCACTGATGACGTCACCGACATCCGCATCGTCATCATTGCTGATGACGTCATCGGAGTCCGCATCGTCATCGTCAATGATGACGTCATCAGTGACGTCATTGATGACCTCACCGGCATCCGCATCGACATCATCACTGATGACGTCATCAGTGACGTCACTGATGACGTCACCGGCATCGTCATCGTCATCATCACGGATGACGTCATCAGTGACATCACGGATGACGTCATCAGTGACGTCACTGATGACATCATCGGCATCGTCACGTGACCCCCCAGGTCACTTCACCCCCCTGTACCCTTCCCTCCTCCTCCTCAAGAGCTGCGCTCTAATTCGGTGTTACAGGGAGTTGTAAACGGCTTTCACTTTTTTTTTTTGTTTTTGTTTACTAGTACACAAAGGTGTTTAGTTTTTGGCAGAGCCAACTTCCTTCTGGGGCTATTAAACTTCGTTTAACTGCCCTAACTGTTAAGTTGTTAGCGCGTCTAAGAAAAGCTGCTAAACAAAGTTCAACAGTTTTTTTTCTATTATTCATACAATCTCCATCTTGCAACCACTACTGCTTCTTGAAACTTTTATTCCCGTTGACTAGTGTGCACGTCCGTCCTGTTTGTAGCATTCGTCTAACCAGTTCCAGATGACTTCTTTTTTATTGTGCAGTTCACACTTTTTCACTGCAAATGAAATGCTTTCCAAAAAGTGCCACAAATTAGGTGAGATAGTTGCTGAAGTTTGGGGCCTGCTGATGTCTGCTGCCACATAGCAATAATCTTCAATGCTGATATGTGTGTTTGCAGGCCTGCTAAACCTGGTGGACCTGTGTGGCAGCGAGCGACTGGACGAGTCCAAGGCGGAGGGTGCCAGGCTCCGGGAGACTCAGCACATCAACCGCTCCCTCTCGAACCTGGGCAACGTGATCCTGGCACTCTCCCAGAAGGTCGGCAATCTGTCTCTTTTAAGCAACCTCCTTTCTCAAAATGAGTTGGCTGCAGAAAGGCAACATTTTTGAAAAAAAACTGCAAGAAAATGAGCGCGTTAAGTCTGCTCTCAAGGGTTTTCCCTTGCTCCAAGTGCAGTTAGGACGCGAACATCACCCATAGGAATATACTGCTATATTGTAGTGTGTTGCAACGTAAAGTGAAGAGGAGCCTCTCCCACAGAACACTCGTCCAGGATGAGCGGCTTCCTTCACTCGGTATTTTCTCTGCTAATGTGGAAGGAGAGAAAGACTGCCTTTATTTGGTCAACTGTGTTATGAAACAAGCCAAAACTTAATTTAGGCGGAACTGTCATCATGGGAGCGCCAGAGAGAAGCTAATGCTTAAAGAAAACGGGGGTGCACATAGCGCTTGAGTTATAGTCTTTTATGGTGCTTCTCTCTACTATCAAAGTTTCGCCAGGAAGTCTCTTTACACAACTACTAACCATTCCCGACTAAACCATATCAGTACTTTGTGTTTTTACTATTGTTATTTTTACTCTCTCCCTTTCCTATTTTTGTCGTTTTAAAGTGTCAAAGTGTATTTTAGTTCTCGTCTACTATTGTTATTTTTACTCTCTCCCTTATGTAATGCCCCACCCGGGCCCTTAAGGATAAATAAATGAAATGAAATAAAGCACCAAACTTGTGCACTCTAGGGCGTGAACTTAACGCACCCATTGACGGGTTGCTCTGGGTGTCCTTTTTTTTTTTTTAAGTGAACCGTAGTGTAAGTGTGGCGGTAAGGTCGTTGTTTTGAGCGTTGGTCGTTCTCCTTCCCTGGCGACTGCAGGCGAAGCACGTGCCATACCGCAACTCCAAGCTGACCTTCCTCTTGATGGACAGCCTGGGAGGGAACAGCAAGACCCTGATGCTGCTAAACGTCTCTCCGTGCGAGAAAAACGTGGGAGAGACAATTAACTCGCTGCGCTTCGCCACAATGGTATACATGCTTCTTTGAAGTTACGTTTCTCTATGGTTTTGCAAAGGTGTGACATGCCGTGTACATCGGGTGCCATGTCCTTCAAGATGTAGGTGACGGTTGTGCTAAGCTAAAAAGTGGTAAAACAAGTCAGTCTTGGTGTATCGCTGTTTTAAAATTCAGTTTTAAACTCCTTAACTGAATAGTGACCGATTGCCCCTCAACCCACACGCGCTCGACTGTACTGCACAGGTTGAAGAATGTTCTTGGTTCCTTGTACCCCTTTCCCTCAAAACAATCTTATGTCCAAAGCAATGACATAGCATATTTTATTAAATGTCTATGGCATTAGTTAATTCCTACATGTAAAGTTTCAATTGGTGGAGAGCTCGTAGTTCTTGTTCAAGGTCAACTCCGCTTCATTTTCGTTTTTCAAAAAAACAATGCAGTCCCCTAGTATCGCCTAGGAAGACCACACGCCAAATATTACGACGTAGTAGTTTTGTCGAAATGTTTCTTAAGCGGTCCGGCAAACTTGGCAACGCGCCAATTTGCGGAAATCGGCTGACTCGAGCGGTCGTATTGACGCGCAACCAACAACTCAGTCAAGGCTATGGCGTGGACATAGCCAACTTTGAGCTTAACGTAATCAACATTGCCCCCTTTTGCTTTATTTTAAATCTCTGGTCCCGCGTAACGGGTGGCATCAGCAACGTTTCCTCTCGGCGCTCAGCGGTGTCCACGTGACTGGCGTAAAGCGCGATCCAAACCGATCTGCGCGCGTAGGCCGTGCGGCTCCCGGAAACTGCGGATTTCGTGACGTCACGCTGATTCCGTCCGCCTTCCGGGCGCGCATAAGAACGTTTCTTCGCCGTCTGGCGCAGATGCTCACCGCTCGCCTGAAGCAGCACCGTCCTAACCACCAAACACGCCACGAAATACGCAACTTCCGGTAAGCGCATGGCCTACGCGCGCATAAAGACGCGTTGGTTTGGACCGTGCTTAACGCGCCTGCCCAACGCGCTTCTTGGGAGCCATCAGGCCGCCACGCCGTGGTCCCACCGTTACTGCCATCCCCCGCGCCATAACCACCGTCGTCGTCTCACTGTTTGATTATAGTCCCTCGGAGTTTCTTCCACACTACGGACACTACGTGCGCAGACTAATGTCGCAGTTGTGAAGACGTCGTCGAATATCTGACAGGCAGGGGTGGGCAAAATACATGCAAATATGTATCGAAATGCAAATACAAAATACTTCGCCAAAAATGTATTTAAATACAAATCTAATTACATTTCCAAAAAAGCATTTAATTACAAGATACAGATAAAACCAAATGTATTTGGTCTCCTCCAAATACTTTTCCAGTGGGTATCTAATTTTAATTTTGCATCGCACACTCGGGAGTTAGTGTGCGAGACTCTAGTAACGTAATAGAAATATAATTTTAAAAAAATGTAATGAGCTAGGACGTAATAGGTGAAAAAAGTACAGTTCTTCAAGCAGCTTTTTGTCGATTACATTTTGGTATAGAGCAACAAAGAACCGAGACGACCAAGACGCGCAGCACTAGCTAGAGAATTTTTTATTGTTGCAACTCGCACCAGTTACGAAAATCTGGACGACCCGCGCATTTAGAATGTTCCAGGCAAAAATGTGGATGGAAATCAGGCTGGAAAGCATCACAAGTTGTCACAGGCACTTATTTAGCCAGTCTGCCTGTGAACGTCGATTTCGTCGCCATTCTTGCCCTGGACTATACTTTGTTTCACGCTATGTTGTAGCGCAGCGAAGGCTAGAAGCGCGAGCGCATAGCGTTGGCAGCTGCTCTTAAGTCACGAGAGCTTGTGCTGTCGAGATGTGCCCCAGAGCAAAGAGCTCGCGCTTGTAACCTTTCCTGCGGTACATCATAAGGTGAAACAGAGCATAGCACCGTAATCACAAAGTCGCTAAACTTGATTAAGAGACGCTGCATTCGGTGCAGAACGTAGTTTTGTTCCTGCTCTGGAGAGTGACAATAAATTTGAGGGATGTATTTTCGCCCACAAAATTGTATTTAATTACAATTGTATGTAAAATACCCACGTTTTAGTATTTAACTACACACGTCAAATACATCACCCAATTTGTGTATTTAAATACAAATGAAAAATACACCAAGTATTTGAAATACGCATTTCAAATACTTGTATTTGAAATACTGCCCATCCCTGCTGACACCAAAACGTGGTGAAGAGTGCGGTGTAGAAGGCACTTTGGCCTGACGCCCGATCCCGCCCGTCGTCGCGTAGAGGATCACGTGACATCTCGCACCACGTGATAGCCATGTTCTTGGCGTCCCGAGACCAATGTTGCCAGACGGAGCCGAAATTTCGGTTTCGATTTCTGCTCGTGTTTAACATTAGAATTAAAAATATAGATCCAATATTTCGCGAAGCAAATGATGGAGTGTTTTATTAAAGCTTTTAATACGAAATCACTGATTACGCAAACTGCTATAGGCAATATTTTTGAGGCGTTGCAAAGAACTCAAATTAGCTTCAGATAGCATCGACACAGCTGACGGATGTCGTGCCGGTTAATGAAGTTGTGTTCAGCACTGGCAGAATGAGCTGCATTGATTCCTCCAAAGTTCCTTTGCACAAAAACTTTATTTTACCTCGATTTTGACAACAAGGGTGGCCGTGAAATGAAGTTGGACATGCCGGTGTTGCTCCACCTGACGTCCGCAGTGTCACTTCTTTCCGCCACCGACATCAAAGTTTTAGTTACTGCGATGAACCTAAGCAAGTGATGAAATCGACAAAAAAAAGCTAAATCCCGTCCCTGTGAGTTAGGAGCAAACAGACACGTCGCCCATCTGCGTCAAGTTTGCGTCTACATCATGAGAGATGTAGGCGCCAGTGTTTAATGTAATTGAAGCACCGGAATGTAAAAATGAAAATATCACAAACCATGTAGAATATTTTTGTGGGATCTTACATTCTTCCTCTTCTGTTTGTAGGTGACCCAGTGCAACATTGGAACTGCACATCGGACAGTGCAGGTGCCATCTCAATAATAACCTTCGCCCTTTAACCTTTTATAATTTTCTAAACCGGGCAATGCCCTAAGAATCGTCTTTAATTTAGCACTTTGACAGGGGTCTGATGACAACGGTTGCCTTTTTGCCCCCCCCCCCCCCCCCCTCCCTTTTTTTTCCCTACAAGTGTCTTTTTTATAGTTCAGTCCAGTTATTATTTATAATATATTTTTATAGATTTTATGGAGTGTTATGTACCGTCGGGAGCAAACGTTCGCGGGGCACGAGAGTGCCAGCCGAAAAGACTGGCTACGCCTTTTCACGGCGCATTGCCGCTCTCAAGACTCGCGCTTTGTGCATGCGCTTCCTTTCTTGTTCGCGGTCATGTTTTTTCGCTCGCTTCCGTTCGACACCCACGAGATAGCAGGGACTGGCGCAAGGTGCTGCGAAATGTTATCTGTAGCATATGCGCGAGCTCCGTCACCCATCACGATGGCTGTCATAACGGCACCTTGCGCCGCCCCGGTTATCTCGTGCACGTCGGGCGGAAGCGATTTCGAGCCCGAACGGAAGCACATTCTCGAAGCGTGGACAGATTAGTGTTTTTTTGTTCTTTTTTTTATGTTTTTATTTATTTCTCGTGAGACCTGTAGACACCTGCAAAATTATTACCCTCTTTCTTTTGAGAAAGTGTATGGGGCAAGAAAGTTCAGAAAAATGCTCATTGCATTGCCATGGGATATGCTTCCCAGAAAGACTATCCCAAGATATTACAACCTTGATAAAACTGTCTTAACAGGGGTCGGATTACAACGGTTGAATTTTTGCACCCCCCCCCTTCTCTTTTCTACAAGTGTCCATATTGTTTTAGTCTAGTGCATGAATATATTAAGTTATTATTTATAGTATATTTTTATCGATTTTATGAGGTGTTATGTACTGCAACCTCATGTACATACTCATTGTGTCGGGATTTTATCAAGTACCGATTTTATTTGGCTTGGTGACATTCTCAGTTTTACAAAACTAGTCTTGAGCTCTTTTTTTTTTTTCTGCAGACACATCTTGGACAGATTAGTGGTTTTGTTTTTTGTTTTTTATTGATCGTGAGACCTGTAGACACATGCAAAATTATTACCCTCTTTGTTTTGAGAAAGTGTATGGGGCAAGAAAGTTCAGAAAAATGCTCATTGCATTGCCATGGGATATGCTTCCCAGAAAGACTATCCCAAGATATTACAACCTTGATAAAACTGTCTTAACAGGGGTCGGATTACAACGGTTGAATTTTTGCACCCCCCCCCTTCTCTTTTCTACAAGTGTCCATATTGTTTTAGTCTAGTGCATGAATATATTAAGTTATTATTTATAGTATATTTTTATCGATTTTATGAGGTGTTATGTACTGCAACCTCATGTACATACTCATTGTGTCGGGATTTTATCAAGTACCGATTTTATTTGGCTTGGTGACATTCTCAGTTTTACAAAACTAGTCTTGAGCTCTTTTTTTTTTTTCTGCAGACACATCTTGGACAGATTAGTGGTTTTGTTTTTTGTTTTTTATTGATCGTGAGACCTGTAGACACATGCAAAATTATTACCCTCTTGCTTTTTGAGAAAGTGTATGGAGCAAGAAAGTAGAAGTGCTTCCCAGATAGACTATCCCAATATATTATAACCTTGATAAAACTGTTCTATTGCAGCCAACTGACACTGTCAGTATAGATATGTAGATGTTTTCCCCCACAATTTGTGTGACCAAGTTCAAAACCATTCGTGTTTATGTATCGTCTAATAAACAATATGCATAAACTCTTTTTTCTGTATGTGATGCACCCAGCTTGTGGAACTAACAGATGCTACTTCCTAAGGCTGAATACGCTAACCACATATTTACCTTTTTGAATGGAGTATGTAGCGGTAAATACCAACCACAAAAAGAATAAACGATATGCGAAACTACTTAGCGGTCGCTGAGTTGTGCGTGTTCATCTTGGTAGCGCGAACGTGGACGAAGGCCTAGGCTGGCATGCCTTTCAACTTTAGGGCACTTTCAATTCTTTTTATGACTAGAAGAATCTCAGGGACAGATGCAGGAATTTCCAGAGGGGGGGTCAGGTGTCGGTCAGCGTACCACACGTTTAGGACGCCCCCCCCCCCCCCCCCCCCCCCCGCTCCGCCGTTTCCACGTCCTAAATTTTTACGCATGCAGAAATCAAGAGGGGGGTCAAGACATCCGGACCCCCCCTGTAAATCCGCCCCTGATCATGATGTCATACTATTTAGCGGTAGACTGCTCCACGCCAATACATTCGACTCCAGGTTACTTGATTTCTTCTAGCAGTTACTGGCGACACTTTCAGTTGGTGGAAAGTTCAGTTCTTGTTATACAAACTACCCTAAGCAATATTTTTCTGGCGTTGCAAAGAACTAATTGGTGTCAGATAGCATCGCCCTCGAGCACAGCTGACGGATGTCGCGCCGGTTAATGAAGATTTCTTCAACATTGGCAGAATGACTGCAATGATTTCTCAACCCCCCCCCCCCCCCCCCCCCCCCGAGTTCCTTTGCACTAAAAAAATTGTTTAACCTGAGAGTCGACAAAATAAAAAAGGTGACCTTGAAATAAAACTGGCATCGCCGGTGTTGCTCCACTCGACGTCCACAGTGACTTTTTTTTACGCCGCCGATATCGAAGTTTTAGCCACTGCGACGAGCTTAAGCAATGATTTGACCACTTAATCTGTAAAAGCTGGAGTGGTCAAGTCTTTATTGATGAAAACCACGCAGAATTTATATACTCGTTGGATTAATCTTTATATAAAAAATGACATAGATTATAGAGTACTGGGTATGAAGATTTCATAAAAAGACAACTAGAACTTCGTTTTGCAGATGAACATAAAGTAGATAAATAAAAAGGTGAAGTGACTGTTTTTTTCATCAAATCTCAATATTTAAATGCTTGCGCCAAAAAGTTTGGAATATATGTTTTTAGGTCGGATTATAAACTAAATCGTCTGACTTCGTTTCGGTCCGGTCAAAAAGTGTCACGAGGCACATCGGGACCTGTCAGTTCCGTTGCAAGAAAGGGTCGTTTATGGAATACCGCTGGCTTGTAAACGTTAGATTAGCAGAGCATAAAATATTTAAATGTAAAAACATAGTATATAGGAGGCTGTGGTAAAAATAAACGCTTTAAAACTCGGAAATATCCAAACATTTTGGATACTAAAAAAATTGTACGGCAGGTTGGTCAAAAACTAAAGTTTTACACAGAGCCTAATGATATCAAGACGGTCGTAAGAGCAACAATAAGAATAAAAAATATATAAAATTGTATCTCCTAAGCTTCGGGTCTTTTTAAGTTTTTTTTTTTTTTTTTTTACGTGCATTGTGAGCAAAGTGACCAGATAATTTTTTTTAAGTCTTTTTTATTTATTTATTTGTTGCAATGTGAAAGAAGGGCTTGAAGGCTTATTATGTTTCAAAGTATGTTTCTGGAAGAGAAGTTGGTGATGATTCCATCGAGAATTGGGACACTTCTAAGAGGTCATTAGGTGGGTGATCCATATCTATCAAGGACTGTGAACGAAGTGCATCTCCGGAAGAGTAGGTGTTGGTAGCTATCGGGGGTACATAAGGACTCACTCCTTATGTACCCCTGATATAATAAACGATTTAGCTGCGCTTGAGATTTCTGCTGTACCTTTTTTCTTCGACTTACAGCTTTTCTATTTTTTCCCTCACCACAGTCTCGTGTTTTAAACAATGATTTATTTGTTTTGTTTTTGCCGAGACTTTTGCTCCCATGGGCCCACATGTGTGAAAGTACACAACGGCTACCTTTTTCCACCCACTGAAAAGTACGGCGAAACAGACTAAGTAGGCGCCTGGTCTCGCCACACCACTGTCGCCTTCAGGACGATAAAGTCAGTCTGCTATGGTCAGGGTCACCATGGGAAGGAAGCGTTCTCGCAGGACACGATATTACATGCAAGATCATTACCACCAGGAAATCTGGTAGTAGACGAAGCTCATGTTGGTGTGTTTAGAAGTTTTATAAGACAATTATTTTGACCAGAAACCGAAACAAAACTACAAGGGAGATATCCGAAGCGTTTTTCATAACGAAGTACGTTGAAGGCACGTGTGTCAGCGCTCCATCGGTAGCCCTGTTTGACTCGGGCGGCGGAGAAAAGCTCACCACAAAACCGGCAGGTGGGGAGAAAAGCTCACCGGCCTTTGTGCGGATGCGTAGAAAAGCTCGCCAATTTGTTCTTTCTTAGCTTAGCGGATTCTGCATCGTGCGTGGCAATTTAACACAATTAGCTAGAGTTCGTCACTTCTTTAAAAATAATTCCCCTCTTTTTTGTAATATTCTTTAAGTTCATTGAGCATATTTACTAATTCCCCTGACATTAGTAATCACCCCTTTCGTATATTAATGACGCTGCAGTATAAAATCAGAATATCGGATACCCGTAAAGGGGTATCCACACGAAGGAGAACTCCGCGGACGGATGTCTTGACGTCGACAACCCGGGAAATTCCGTCCCCGGCTCCGCCGCGTGCACCTGCGGAGCTTTCGTGCTGACAGCACGAAGCCTCCGCGCCTCCGCCGCGGAGGAGAACGGCGGCGCGAGGCGTCAAAAAGGAATGACGTATGTCTCAAGTGATGCGCGCTCCGCGAAGGAAAGAAGCGGATTTCTCCTTCGTCTGGATGCCCTATAAAAAGGACAACAATTTATTGACAGCTTGACAGTGCGCCATCGGTACCTTTGTCCGTTAAAGAGCTTGTTTTTTTGCGAGCTAATATGAATAGCGGTGTGGTGAACCGTTTCAGCTCGAAAGATTGTGTGGTGCCTGATAGATGAGTAGGTGTTTCTTGATGTAATAGGTGTCGGCTACGCTGTTTCCTTTGTTATTTCACTAATAAAACTTTAGTTGCGAGAACAGCGTCGTCCAGTCGTATTTGTTGTCCTCACTTCGTCTTCGTCATTTGAGTGGTTTTCATCATGTATAATGTTTACCAACTCGCCCAATTCCCTACCTTACAGAAGACTAGTTCTTATATAGATCACGGGTAACAACGGTGACAGTGTGCAGCTCTGGAGGTCATGGGTGGCTCGCCGTAGAAGGGCACTATCGCACAAAGGCAACGTGTGGAAACACCAGCCGAACGGCAAGAAAAGTGCATGTTCGTGGAAGAGGAGCCTCGATATCCCATTGATTGTTTTCCTGTTTTCAAAGGTTGACAAATGCTTCAAAGAGAATTTCAGGCACCGCGTTGTTGTGCATGCACTTCAGAATGTTTCG